CCACCCCCGCCGCGCCTTGTCCTGTCCTCCCCACCCTCACCGCCCGTCCCCACCCGCCTGCCTCTTCGTTCCAGGAGTGAAAATAATGGAAAGTGATTTGACTGGAAGCTCTCCAGTGAGCGACCCGCATTGTCTTTCAGTTTCCTTTGGGAGAAGAAGACGGTATAAGTCGTGTGATTGGAACGAACAACATGCACTGCAACATTCTCTTGCAAATGAATGACGTGTTGGGCCCTGATTCAATTTGCCGGGTTTTGCATTTGCTGAAATAGCAGTCCCCCACTTAGTTGCGGATATATCGACGAGGGTGTGCTGCGTACAATTGAGCTCAACGAGATCTGCACCTCAAGTGCACCTCTAGTTCCACTTCAGCGCGCATTTCAAATCTCCCGCCCGAAGCAGCCCGATTGAGCAACAAGTTTCTCAAAGGCTGTTGTGGCTGACGACGTGATGGCGCCTGACGTGTCGTTTGACGTTGTTTGACACTTGCAGACGAAATTTTGCAGTTCTCTAATTAAGGGTTGTAATGAAAGTCTTTAGTGCATTGTGAAAGACCTCTCTCGAAATGGAGGCGCTTTACCACCAAACGAACATCCTCATACAGGAAACTCAATCCTGTTTTGAGAGGTTAAATAAGGCTGGCGAAGCAAATGCCGAAGCATTGGAAAATGAAATTCAGCAAAGGATAAGCACTGTCACGAAGTAAGAACATTTTTACAATGTATCATTACAGTTTGTGAAGTCATACTACAGTCTGGACATCAATTACTATGACACAATGTTGTACAATGGGCAACTTAACCTCAGCCTTATCAAGTACATATGTTGACGGCTCACGTTTGTTTGTTTTTTTCAAAAAATATCTGACTCAGAACTATGACACTTAAAACCTCTCATCATACTCCTTTCATTCATTGCCTTTATTAATACTGGTTGCCGCTTAAAATCAGAGATCAGAGATATTTTTGAAATGTTTTCATTGTATATTTCTTTACTTTTTCAGAAATTGTGAGCGTCTTGATCAATATGTTTACAAAGAGCCTGTTGCAAGACGACAAAGTGCCAAAACAAGAGTGGATCAACTGAAGTATGACAACCATCATTTACAGGTATTTAAAATTTCCTATTGTCATCTCTGTACTATTTTCTTGTGTTGGTCTGATACACTGTAAACTTTGTCCTCTTATAGGCTGCTCTCCGAATGTACCAACACAGGCAAGCTCAGTATAGAAGAGAAGAAACAGAGAGGGAAGAACTTCTTAGTCGACGATTTACTCACAATTCAGCAGATGCAGAAACCGTTATTTTCATAGATCACTCAATCCAGCATCACTCTGCTTTAAATGTAAGTACTTAAAACTGATGCTTTTGTGGTCCTTACAACTTCTCTGGAGACCATAGTTAAGTTACACTGTTGTTTTTGTCTGGGGCAGAATGCAAACCGCGGAGTGGATGACATGCTTCGATCTGGTGCGGGAATCTTGGAAAGCCTTCGTGACCAGAGAGATACACTCAAGAATGCTCAAAGGCGTATTATCGACATAGCAAATACTTTAGGTCTGTCCAACACAACAATGCGACTCATAGAAAAGCGCGCCCGTGAAGATAAGTTTGTCCTGCTTGGAGGGATATTTGTCACCCTTGTTGTTATATTACTAGTTATCATATATTTAACTTGAAAATCTAAGTATCAAGTACAAATTCTTTATATGAATGCAAACTTGCAACATTCCATTTTTCTTGAACTATTTATATCACCCACTTTTCACTACTATTGTCATGACATTGAATTAAACACATCTACCTAATTTTAATAATGCTGTTATCTGCCATGTCACAAACACATTAAGTGCAGCAAAAAGGAAGGGGGACAAGAGAAAAATGCCTACTCTCCCACAGCGAATGCTGACGCCTTCAGAGTAGGCAGCCCATTTCTCACGGCGCAAGATGAGTTGCATACCTGGTAGGCGGCCTGTACCCATCGCCTTTTCCCCTCTTTGGGACGCGTACTGGGCGCACGTTGAGTGGCCTAAGCACCGGGCGGGAGCGTGCAAGTCAGGAGGGTGGTCGGAAAGCTCCCCGGATTGTTCGACTTCTAGTAAAAACCTCGGAAACAGTTTGCAAAATTTTCGTGTTTTGTCTTCAAAAGGGTGACCAAACTTGGGGACTGTGTCCGAGATCGGCACCGGAAGTCGAGCAATCCGGAGAGTAAGGAGTTCCACAGGTCACATATTTCTTTTCAACATGCAACTTGAAATTGACCTCGCGGAAAACACAAACGTTGGAGCTACGGCGCGCAGTCTTCAACGCCACCACGTCGTACAAGTCCCAGTGTAACAACACGTCCATCAGACACGTGGTTGGTTACCACGCACCGCCGCGGTCCTTTGCGTGCAGCCATCCCCTCCTCCCCCACGCTGACTCAGCCGCGGGCCGCCCCTCCGCTCCGTCGTCGGGACCCCCGCGCGCACCTGTGTGCGGGCCGGGACAGCCGCCGCCCCTTCCCCTCCCTGATCTGGGATTCAAAGCACTACGCAGCAGTCAGGACCGTCATCGTCCGCTACACTTGTACCCTTCCCACCACCCTTCCCCCGCCCCCAACAGAATGCCTACATAATAGCAGCTAGCGCAGCCGCGCCGCGAGTATCTGCCCTTCTGTGTGCCCGGCAGTGGCGTAGTCGAGCAGGGGAGGAGGAGGAGCCTGCGGGTAGTGTGACGGCGGTCCCTCTCGTCACTCGTACCGGAGTACCTGCGTATAGCTACGCCACTGTGATGTCCCTGCTGGAGAGAGCGAGAGAGGTGGGGGTGGGGGAGATCCCCTCGGGGTGCGTGTTGGGGAGCAGGAGAGGACGATGGCGGTCTTTGTTCGACTCGAAAAGAAGAACAAGAGGAGGAAGGAGAAGAAAACGCACTCAGGCGAGGGGACGGATGGACGGACGTTTGAAGCTCCTCGGGCGGGAGGGAGGAGAAGCCACCACAACCTGTCGGGGCGAAGGCAGTGGCGGGTTGTAGGGCCACTCCTACTCTACTATATCGTCTTATAAGGAGGATTGTCGGGATGGAATTGATGAAAATTACAGCCGCTGTGCCAGCCTGCAGCGGTAGCGGCGCCACGGAAGGGTACTACTTGCTCGGTTCTCACACACGCCGGCCACGGTCGGACCCCGCGAAGGGCCAAGGCGCTCTAATTAACAAATTAATTAGTGCCAGCCGTAACAGGAAGAAAGCACTCACTCGCCTCTCCTCCCGGCCGAAAGGATGTCCGACAGACGATAATTAAATCCTCCTTTCAAATCCCTGTTTTTACACTTGGATAGCCCCCCCCCCCCTCCCTCCCCGCTACTTAACTATGTATACCACCGCGGTGTGCTTAACTTTCGTCCGAATAATCGGTACAACGCTACGTATAAAATCACCCTCGCGATAACGTCGTGCTGCTGCTGCTGCTGCCGCTGCTGTCGCCACCGCCTCCGCTTCGTTTTCGGCGAAAAACAAAAGCGGGCCGAAGCGGAGGTGGATTCGGGGAGAAGGTGGGGGTCACTTACGCCGAGTACAGAGAAATGGAAGCCGGGAGGGGCCGGGGCGTACCCGCTCTGTACGAGCGCAGGCCTTATCCCCATTGTGTTCGGAAGAGATTTCAAGGATAAATTCCTGTCTTGGGCCGGTGTGCCGGGCCGGAGCCGGGCAGGGGGGCGAGGGCCGCCCTCCCTCGGCCAGCCCCACACCGGCTCGCTCATGTTTTTCCCTCTTTTTCAAAGGATAATAACATAGTCTCTGGCTGAGCAAGGTAAGTGTCTCGACTGTTATATTCTTATTTTCCCACTCCATCGCCCCGGCGGCGGCGGCGGCGCGCAGAGCCGAGCATACCTCGGCCGGGCAAGAGCACGCAGAACCGTGGAGTTACCGACCAATACCCGCCGGGGGGGGGGGGGGGGCAGGAGAAATACTCAGGATGTGCCACTCCAAAGGGCCGTCCAGATACCGCCTAGACACACCATGAGCACTCGCCACTCGTGGGCCGAGAAACACAAGCGCTGTGGCGCCAAATTGTTTTTTCGCGCGCAAAGTCTGCGGAGGTGATTTGGGGCCGGTCCCCGGTGGGCGTCGCTCGAAGCCCGGGCCGGCGTGGCGCTGGTCAGCAACAGGCTGGGGGGGGGACTGGGGGGTTCGCCTCCAAGCCAAGGCGCCATCGCCAGAGGCTGGGCGCTTGGCCCGCTCCGGCGGCACAGCGTTCCGTTCCGGAGGTGCCCGCCGCCCCGGAGAACAAAGGCCCGGGGTCCTTCCCCCCGCCCGCGCCCTCCCCTCTCTCTGGACGACATATATATGCCACCCCGAAAACTTTTGCCCGGAAGAATGAGCCCCGGCGACTATATACGTTCTTGGAAAGGAAGCCGGGGAAATCGCGCCATTAGTCCTTTTATGATTGCTGCCCGGGGTGGGCGGGGGCCGGCCAAAGCGAGGATCAAGGCAGGCGTCCAAGAACAACCAGGCGAAGGCGACAGCCAGTAGCTTCGTAGGCACCGAGCCTTTTCGCAGAATTATTCGCCACCCGAAACAGTTTGGGAGAAGTTATAGTAATACTGACGCCAATGATGGACAAACAAGTTGTATAGAATTCTTTAGGTGTTGAGCGGGGCCGAAAGACGCGGGGTCAGGAAAGGGCCCTGCCACTCGGGCCCATCGTGACCGAGACAGACATAAGTTGGTAGCACAGGTCCCCTCACCCTGTTTCTGTGGGGAGAGGGAGAGCGAGAGAACGAAAGAAGGAGTGAGGTGGGGAGGGTATACCCTATCCGATAGTGATCCGATACCCATCGCGACATTTATCGGCGTTCTCCCTATGGAGCCGTTCATTCATGACATAGGGAATCTCGCCCTGTGTGTGTGTGTGTGTGTGTGTGTGTGTGTGTGTGTGTGTGTTCCGGGTGGCTGCGTGGGCAGCGACGCGTACCCTGCTGTGGGACCCAAACGGAAGAACGTGGGTTCGAGTCCTGGCGAGCACCCCGCGCTCTACGTACCGCGGCTACGACGGGCGCTACGGACCGGACGAGCACGCTGACCCCCC